CAGACAGAGGTAAAGATCTGAGAACTCTCCAGGCAGCTACTAACAAACAACTCAGTGGTCCCTGCTGTCCTCCTGTCCCTGGGGCCAGTGGCTCAGCTTGCAAGCATTCTGTAACCCTCTACAGAACACACTCCACTGCCCCTACAAGACCCTAATCAGCGCCTTAACATTCTCTCCACCATAATGGCCAGATTGGCTTTGCAGAGGTCAAACTTCTACTGATTGACTGAATTTTTTTTCCAAGTGATTTAAACAAAAAAGAAGAAGCTTATAACCAAACCCCAAGGGGTACATACTATTTATATTCCATTTATTTCAGGCTTGATAAAAAAAAAAAACAGACAATAACTTATGCTGTTAGAAGTCATGATGGTGGATTTTCTTAGAGGGAAAGGGGTAGTGACTTCTGAGCTGCTACCATCCCAGTTCTTGTCCTGAGTGCTAGTTATGTGGATGTGTCCACTTTGTTAAAAAAAAAAAAAAAGGGGGGTGAGGGGAAGACTGGGAAGGTGGCTGAGTGGGAAAGTGGCTCCATGGTAGAGTACTTGCCTTCCATGCACAAGGCCCTATGTTCGATTCCTCAGCAACACATAAGCAGAAAAAGCCAGAAGTGGTGCTGTGGCTCAAGTGGTAGAGCACTAGCCTTGAGCTGAAGAGCTAAGGGATAGCGCCCAGATCCAGAGTTCAAGCCCCACAACTGGCAAAATAAAATAAAATCACTAAATTCATATCTAGACTCTTGTGACTTTGTGCCCTGTCTGGGTCTAAGTTACCTTTCAATTAAAAATTCACTCTTTTTTTTTTTGTCGGGAATGGGTCTTGAACTACGGACCTGGGCGCTGTCCCTGACCTCTTCAGCTCAAGGCTAGTGCTCTATCTCTTGAGCCACAGCGCCACTTCTGGTTTTCTGGAGATAAGTCTCACGAACGCACGGGCTGGCTTTGAACTATGAGCCTCAGATCTCAGCTTCCTGAGTAGCTAGGGTTACAGGCGTGAGCCACCAGCATCTAGCTAAAAGTTCATTTTTGAAAAATACTTAAAAAAGAAGTGAGGCACTCACTGGTGGCTGATGCCCGGCATCCTAGCTACTCAGGGAGGTTGAAATATGGAGGATCGAAGTTTAAAGCCAGCATCAACCAGCAAAGTCCTTGAGACTCTATCTCCACTGGAAGTATGGTTCAAGTGATAAAACACCAGCCAAGGAAGCAAGCTGGGCAAGCCCAAGAAGCCCCAGTACCAGCAAGAGAAGGAGAGGAGACAGAGAGGGAAAGAGGAAGAGATAAAGAGAAAGAGAGAGGGAGTGAGAGAGGAATAGGGAGAGAACTTCAACATCCTATCCCACTTTCCAAAATAGGAACACTTGTCCCAAGCCCAGGAGCCAAGTCACACCCAGTACCCTAAGAACAACCAAGCATGATAAGAACTGGGAAAAGAAAATGGGCTGAGAATGTGGTTTCGTGTTAGAGTGCTTGCCTAGCATGCATGAAGCCCTGACAGTGGCCAAGCCCTGAGTTCAAGCCCCAAGATTGTCAAATAAATAAATAGAGTACAGAGGACCTAAAAAAGTCAATGTGTGGAGGTGAGGAGTTGGGAACCCCACCTTGAAAGAGGAATAAGCATTTTCCCAATCCCACCAAAATGTGAGGGGAACTAAACTCTGAAAGGTCATGAGGGATCAGGGTCTCTCACACACAGTAAATCTTCCGAGGCTGGCAGGAAGGTGAATGGCAGCCTAGTCCTAATTGGGACTGAGTAGGTCAGGAGTTATATTTAAATGACATGGGAGGGCTGGGAATATGGCTTAGTGGTAGAGTGCTTGCATCCCATGCATGAAGCCCTGGGTTCAATTCCTCAGTACCACATACACGGAAAAGTCGGAAGTGGCCCTGTGGCTCAAAGAGTGAAGTGCTAGCCTTGAACAAAAGAAGTTCAGGGACAGTGCCCAGGTCCAGAGTTAAAGCCCCAGTAGTGGCAAATAAAATAAAATTAAAATTAAGTAGAATAGCTACTCAGGAGGCTGAGATCTGAGGATCGTAGTTCAAAGCCAGCCTGGGCAGGAAAGTCCATGAGACTCTTATCTCCAATAAACCACTAGAAAACCAGAAGCGGTGCTGTGGCTCAAGTGGTAGAGCACTCACCTTGAGCTGAAGAGCTGAGGGACAGTGCCCAGGCCCAGAGTTCAAGCCCCACAACCAACAAAAATAAATAAATTAAAAAATAAAAAATAGGGGCTGGGAAGGTGGCTCAGTGGTAGAACACTTACTTGCCTTGCATGCCTGAGGCGCTGGGTTCGATTCCTCAGCACCACATAAGCAAAAAGAAAAAAAAGCCGGAAGTGGCGCTGTGGCTCAAGTGGTAGAACACTAGCCTTGAGCTGAAGAGCTGAGGGACAGCGCCCAGGCCCAGAGTTCAGGCCCTAGGACCGGACCCCCCCCCAAAAAAAATAAATAAATAAACATTTAAAAAAATTTAAAAATTTTAAAAAAATGACATGGAACAGAGGGAGTTCAAGGGGAGCTCAAATGAGACTCAGCGGGGGTGGGAATAGAATGGGGGACTGAGCTACAATCCTCACATAGGGAAATGTGGGTTTCGTTCTGCCCAAAAGTGAGAGATTTTTGTTTTTAATAGAGAAGTAGCATCGTTAGAATTCTCCAGGGCTCCCAGGAGCCCAGGTATGGGGCCACAGGGCCTCATTCAAGGATGCCTGGAGGCCAAAAGTTCCCAAGAAAAGACTAATGAGGCTTGTGACCCATCAGCAGGGCTGGGAGTGAGGCCAAAGGACATCCCCTAGACTCTGGGGGGAGAGTTGAAATCCACACTGCATGCAAGTTAAGAAACAGGCTGAGTTGGTATAATTTGTGGAGGGGAAGGGGAAAAACAAATCGTTTAAATAGGGATACAGGTGGACCCATTGCAACAATGAGATGTACAAGT